TTTATTTCTATTAATAACATGCTATGGGCCCACGATGTCTGAAAAATAAAACATTTTTATTTTTATTTTTATCTTAGGAGGTGTAGTACTAAGAGCCATGATAGCTCACGTACCATTCGTTGCATAGTGAGTGAGCAGCTCTAGAATGATCTCTGATATTGTTGATCGCATTTTTAAATGCTGATCACGACGTGTTCTACGGTGAAGAAAAACACCGTATAGAGACCTGTTTGTTTGAGAAATTAATTATTTTAAGGAAATATGAATTCTTTCACAATGGAGTTGCTTGATTTAAGGGACAATAGGGCATACTTACGCTATTCATTTAAAGTTCTAAGTGTTTTGTAGGTATAAACTTTTAAATATAAAAATAACCAGGATTGTATCATTAAAACGACCAGCTTTAAAAGTAGCTGATGATCAATAAGATTCAGTCTCTTAGAACCTAGTGGCAGTTCATTATCTCTATGATCTTTTTATAAATTGGCATTAGTAAATTTGTCATTCATCAAGTGTAACGGTATAGAAAAATAAATAAATAAACAGGTGTGATATTTCATTAACTTAAATGAAATTAAATAAAAGAATGTTAATATTTGGCTGCATTTAAACGTTTTGCAGAGAAATAAATAATACAAATATTACTTCTACATACACATATACAAAAGTTTAATTAGTATAAACATTTAGTTACATATCTGTGAACATATATATATAATTAGATTAGTACATACATATTATAATAAATCCAAAGAATAGTTAAATTGTACCGTCCATAATAGATTTTGTTTATATAACTGAAGATAACTTTAATAGGCCTTAAATTTAAGCTGTATACCTACTTTAAATCCTTAAAATTGTTAAATCGCTGTTGGTTTTTTAAATAAATAAAAAAAAATGTATTTTAAAAACAATAATCCTTTTTTGATTTTTGATTGTTTTTTTCTTCTTTGTTGATTTCTTATTCCAGCTGCGTCTATTGTCGCTCGAATAAAATACAGGTATATGTTAAGATAATCAATAGCATTATTGATTATATGTATGTATATATATATATATATATATATATATATATATATATATTACATATATAAGTTATTGATTCTCTTCTAAATCAATTCGTAGCAGTCAGCTGGACATGGGCTTTTCACATTGTAGGAAAGATTTGCCATACACGCAATTTTTCCCAGATAGCACAACCAAAAAAAATGTTAAAGGGATGAAACTTACCTTAGGTATGGTGCACTACAATAATAAGACGTTATCAAATTATTCAAACAATTAATATAGTAATATGGTAACAGATTTGTACCGCCATATTGAGATAAGTGTAAATATGCGGAAAATTAGTTTTCCAGTGATGTTGATATTTCATAAATAACTATCCGTACGAGAACGATGTTTGCATAGCTACAAAACAATTAGCGAAATTCATGTAATATACTGAGAGAATTTAAATTTCTTCAGTGATTGTAATAACCGCCCAAGCAGCCAATTGTTAACAACTTCACAGCCTACGCCTTATTTTTTTGCATGGTTATTGAAGACGGATATTCAAATTTACACAAATGAGTAACACAAAATGAGTACAAACGAGTAAGACTGCTCCGTGACGCAGTGGCTTAGCAATGAGTTGCAGCGCTAAGGGCTGCGGGTTCGAATCCCGCACGAAACAAGTATTTGTATGGCCTAGAAAATCTTAGTGTGGAGGTAACGTTTTTTTTAAGAATTAATAATAATAATATTCCAAATGACCGCGCTAGGTTCTACTGGGACCGGGCCATCATCACAAACAGGACAATTCTTGCGAATAAGCTTGATATTGTGCTGATGGATCGGGCACAGTCAAGGATCTTTTTGTTCGACATTACTATTCCTTATGAAGAGAACCTTGTGAAAGCCGAAACAGATAAGCTCACAAAATATCTGGACATGGCTCACGAGGTTGCCGACATGTGGGGTGGTCTGCCGACCGAAATTATTTCTGTGGTCGTTTCTGCGAACGGGTTAATCCCAGACAGCCTCTCGTGTCATCTGAGGTGATTGGGAATCCGTGACGGACCGCACCAGGCTCAAATGCAGAAGGCGGTGCTCCTCGATACCACCCGCATCGTCTGCCGGTTTCTTTCCCTTTCCCCCTAACCCTCGGTCGTTTGGTCTCTCCTGCCGAGGGCTTCCATCTGGTTGGGTTTTTATTTATTTATGTATTTTTATGTATTTATTTTATTTTGTTGATACATATTTATATTTGTATCTTTCGTTTACAATTATATATTTAAACAGCCCAACCAGATGAGAAAACTTTATAGATAACTCAGATAATAATAATAAAGTAAACTACAAAATGGTTCTAAGATCAATTGCCTTTTTTACTAAATTAGGTGACACGATCCTAATTTAGTTAATTACAACGCTAAACGAACTGAAATAGCAGTACTGAGTTTTAAGTCGACTTTTTATTGCTGCTCAGTGATCATTAATTTTACAACGTTAATTTACACGTTTTGTCAAAGCAATGCTATGTAACAAAATATTTACTTTTTTTTATTAATTTTTTATTTAAACTATCTTAAATGTTTTACAATATTAAAAACTATAATAATGAAAAAAAAAGCTAAAACTAGAAACTTAATTATCATATAGTCCTACTCCCCGCGGTATCGTGCCAAGAACGCTGGCTGCGTTTCCCCGCTTAATGGCTATACTTAGCCTTTGAGCGACAAAAGAACCAGCCCTCTTACCACCAGCAGCAACGACCAGCCGCGGATGGAGTTCCTTTAGGAACATAACCGTACGTGGACCCCACGGACCGATAGTCCCTTTTTCTCACTGAAATATGATAGCTGCCCCTGGTTCCGTTACCCTATCCCGAATTTCCCTTACCCTCAGCTCACTGTTCTCTCTTGTGCCTAGTTTTGCGTTGAAGTCTCCCATTAAAATACTATTGCGGCTTTTGGAGGAATGCATGGCTCTAGAGATACCCTCATACATTTCCTTCACTTCCTCATCGGGATGTGCCGAGGTTGGTGCGAAAATCTGTATGACCTTCATCGAATACCGTTTGGTTATTCTGAGTTTAAGTACTTAACCCTCGTCGACGCACTCCAATCTTTACAACGCTTTAATTTAATTTCATTTAATTTACTTATTTGTTTGATATGTTTTGAGTAAATATAAAATACAAAAGAAAAATTAATATAAATTAACACTTTCACAAACCAATTCTTGGACAGTCAGACACAATAGTAAGACAATAATAATGAACTATACATACATATGTAGTACGCGGGACAGCGAATGGGTTAACAGAGCCTTTTGGTGTGCACATTTAATTATCAAAGGTTATTGTCAAAAATACCTTCAAAGGTCACCATTGCCTAATTGCGGGTCGCAAAAATTACAAGATACTAAAACCTAACATTAAATTGAGTTGACCTTTTTAGTATGTAATATTATGTTTTATGTCGTATGACAGCGCATACTAGCGTTTGGTGTCTGCATTATTAACAACTCGTGTACCAACCTCTCTTTAAATTTAATGTCCGGCTTTAAAAACAGTGAGGGTAACGTTTTACACGTTAAATTTTAACCAACAGCATTGTATTTCAGAAAGACATTATGACTTTATTGTTAAAAACAATATAGTGTGAGAGGGGATGTTCAACTTACTCTCTTGGTTACGCAATGGAACAATAAAACCTCTAATAAAATAAAGTAATATGTGCTACTCACAATCACACAACGTGATGGACATTATTCCGTGATAACGCCAAAATAAATTCGGTATGCAAGCCAATAGAAACACTGTTTATCACAATATAACACTGGTTAGTTTTACAAGAACAGAATTTTGTATAAAACAGAACAGGTTGTCGTAAAGCAAGATAACGACGAATACTTTTATGAAATTACCAAAAAATTGACCTGCATTGAAATTTAATGTTCGAAAGAGTAGGCGTTTCGAAATCTTACCTCACTTCTATTAATCTATTTTAATCTATGACATAGTCTTATTGGTCTATATTATGTAGGAAAGCTAGGTGATATAATATATGAATTTTAAAGAGTTAGCTCTGTTTGCAATGAAAGTTTCTTAAAGTCGATAGTAAGATGGTATTTATAGTAAGTTAAAAACTGATTGTGGTGTTTTCTGGATTTCGAAAATCCATGTGAAACCATAAGTACTCCATAAAAATTTAATCAAAATCCATCAAAATTTTATATATAAAGATGTTTTCAAAATTACTATGTGAACAATTAAATAAATAGTATATTATTAAATTAATAAATGTCGTGACGTAAAAATTGTTTTTAACAAGACGATTTACAGATTTTCGTATATTTTCTTCTTTTTCGTTGCCTTTCTAAACGCAATTATATATATTATATATATATATATATATATATATATATATATATATATATATATATAATATATATATATTCATATATATGTATATATGTATAATATATATTTATATCTTTAGATTTAGGATTTACCGCTATCCGAAGGTCGGCAGAACGTCATTCGTTACGCCTGCACGTAAAGGTGAAGTTGGCACTTGAAAAAATATTACTGTTATACTCCCCTTGCAACCTTTTTTTAAAGAATAAGGATGGAGAGCACACAGTCCGTCTGATAGTAAGTGGATGCTGTGGCCCATTGACATCCACATGTATCCTCGATTAAGAATCAAAATGCAGATGCGTTGTCACCTCTGAGGACTAAAATGGAGTGCGTTTCCAGTAAAAAAGGTCTCCGGTTCTCTACACTTACCACAGGAAACACAGCAACATTGAGCTGTTATTTTACGCTGGTATTCGGTGAGAGTTTGGTCCTTCCCCGGTCGAACCGACCCATTCGTGCTTTAGTCGTAATATAGCTGCAGCATGGCTCTACCACATGTAAATAAATGATATATAATATAATCCTTATATGTATTATAACATAAAATAATTTTGTTTTTCCATATGTTTTATATTTTTTAATTAAATTTCAGCGTACAAGCACTAGTCTATGGGGAGAATGGATGGGAGTTATGCATGGCGACGAGATGGAGTACGTGTTTGGTCACCCCCTTAACATGTCCCTGCAATACCACACCCGCGAACGAGACCTAGCTACTCACATTATGCAGTCTTTCACCAGATTTGCTTTGACAGGGTAAGATCTGTTTATTTATATGATGACGTCAATATATTATTAAATATTTTGGTAGTGAAAAATAGTTCATTATATATTCACATATTTAAGACGATATTATTTATAATCTTTATTAAATGGCCTACTAATACAATACTTTTAAGGTACTATATTGTTATTAAGTTTTAAATTTTGCCTATTTGCGCATCAACCATCGTGTAGTGACAGCTTAAGAGAATATACTAACCCATATCATATTTTAAAAAAAAAAGCGTTACTTCCACACTAGGATTTTCTCCTATATTGCGGGGGCAGTTTACATACATAGATTTCATAAGGACAAACATCTAGACCCAGAATAATTATTTGTAGGCCATACAAATACTTATTCCTTGCGGCATTCGAACCCGCGGCCCATAGCGCTGCAACTCATTGCTAAGCCACTGCGCCACGGAGCCATCAAATTAATATCTGCAGTTGCCAATCGATCTGTCAATTGTGGTAACTATGGTAAAATCACATCTATGAGACAATTTAAGGAGGAAATCTATGTTATGCAGAAGACTTTTGACTGACAGTAATTTAATGAATTACTAAAAAATGATGGATAAAATATTGAAAAAAAAAAATTGCATTTATAAATGTTTAAAGGTTTTACTTTCGAAAGTAGGCAACTGAGTAACTTTGAAACCTAAAGTTCTTGTGGGTTTCATGGATTTTCAGTCTCAAGGTAATTTAAAATTTTATTATTTTTGATTACAATGAATGTAATACTACATATTCAATATAATGAAAAAAATATTAATACAAATTATAAATACAAACAATAATACAACCCAAAAAACAACAATTCTCCTTGTTGGCAGATTTCCTCAGCCCAATATCATGTACAAATGATTAAGATGCATGAAAGATATAAGCGTTAAAGAAGTTCCTCTAGAAGATAAAATATTAAAATAGAAATAGCAATAACCTAAAAATTGTACACAGACATTTGTAGCTAATTTGTTGCAAATTGGTTACCAAAATCGCGATTTTGTTGCTCCAACAAGTTTCGAGAATATAGAATTACTACTATCTTAACAATATGATACTAGTAAAAATTTTAAATCACACCGGCCGTAGCGGATAAAACAGGAAAATTTGTTACTAACTTGTTGCTGGAATATAGTGCAAAAGTATATGAAAAGAACTGAGATAATTTTTTTAAATAAAAATTTCGGGAAACGTTTATTCCCCCATATGCAATTGGCAAGCGCATCGGACACTATTCTGGACTATTATATTATGGGATATTATGATGTAAATAAGACATATGAAACTAATATTTAAATGAATTTCATATTTTCAGAAAGCCTCACAAATCGGACGAAAAGTGGCCTCTGTACTCCAGGACTTCACCACATTATTACACGTACACCGCTGATGGAACTAGCGGACCGGCTGGTCCACGCGGGCCTCGTGCTTCTGCTTGCGCTTTTTGGAACGATTTTTTGAATAAGCTTAACGGTAAGAAGTATTTCTAACTTCTTTGTGCAGGATGGTAAACTTTTTACCATTTTGTTTCGTTGGGAGTTCAATAATATTTTTTTCTTGATAAACAAAATAATCTTATTTTATTATTATATTATAAATAATTAAATTATAATCAAAAGACAAAGAAGTTGACTGTCCAGTGATGTATTATAAACTAATAAAATGGAACGTGCCACCTTATTCAGAACGCGCTTTAAGTAAACGCGAGTTTTTTGCGAGTGTGCTATTAGTATTATTAAGATAATATTAGTAATATTATATCGAGATAGATAGATAGATAATTCTTTATTGTACACCAAATCAATACATAAGCAAAAGAAAAAGAAAAAAGAATTGTGACACAATGCGCGGTCTTATCGCTAAAAGCGATTTCTTCCAGAGAACATTTCGGTGGACGGGATTACAATAATATAAAATTAAAAATTTTGTACAGCCGACTTCAACATAAATTATTAAGAATAACTCAAACAACTATTAGTCTGACCTTGATAATTCGTATGGAACCACTTGTGAAGTACTAGCTTGCAAATAAAAAAAGAATCATCAAAATCGGTTCACCCAGTAAAAAGTTATGAGGTACACATAAAAAAACATACAGTCGAATTGAGTACCGTCTCCTTTTTTATAGGATAAGGCTGACAAATGAGCACACAGTCCACCTGATGGTAAGTGGTTGCTATGATCCATAGACATCTATATCTATCCTCAAATATAAATCAAAATGCAGATTAAGATGGAATGCCTCGTTTCCAGAAAATAGGGTCTCCGGTTCTTTACACTCACCAAACGATACACAGCAGCATTAAGCTGCTATTTTACGCTGGTATTCTGTGAGAGTGTGGTCCTTCGCCGGTCGAGCCGACCTATTCCTGCTACAACTATACAATTAATATAGCTTTAGCATGGCTCTACCACGTAATAAAATCCTTTTTGAATTCGGCAGAAAAGCAGATAATAGTGTGATTTGATGATGCAGAAACAATATTTATAAAGATATCCATATAATATAAAGAAATAAACAACAAATAAAGACATAAAAATACGAATGTATAGATATATATATGGCATGAATTCAAAGGTTAAGATAGTGATTGTGTACAAGTTTCAAACAGATAAAGATTTGGCGCGTCTTATTGACAGAGGTAGGGCATTCCATAGACGGACTGCTTGGATAGTAAACGACCTGTCCCAAAAGTAGGTATTATAGGCAGGCATTTTTAATTTAAAATTTTCTGATGATATCAAAACTTTCGAATAGGAATAGTAAATGAATTCAAAACGATCCTTAAGATAACAAAGAATTAAAGAGAACACTGTAAAGAAGTGACAGATTATGAGCATTCCGGCGAAGACGAATAAGAATCCATTTGAGCTTATTACGAAAACAAGAAACATGATCATATTTGCGCAAACCAAATATGAATTTTATACAAAAATTTTGAAGACCCTCAAGCTTATGCTTTTCGGTGACATCAAGATATGCAAGCGCAATTTTAGTGGCAGTCGGTAGTAAGTTCCTTAATCTGATCAATGATCGAGCAGCTGCAAAGAGGTTACGACTAACTTCCTATATTTGAGGTTCCCATGATAGGCTCCTGTCAATATAAATTCGCAAGTCCTTGACTTTTTCACTAACAGGGATAAAATTTCCATCAAAACCACCTTGAGGTGCTTGAGATAGGTTAGATTTTCAAATCATATTCGAACTTCCGATAGACAGTGCGTAACTGTCTTCAGAAATAATTAGCCAATGTCAACGATAAAGATTTCTCGAGAGACTCAATGTTGGAGTAATAGTTTAAGCATGTTCGTTATTATAAACCATTATTTGTAGTCCGACGGGTTCCAATTTAAACTAGACGAAGATAACTATTCAGCTCTTATGAAGTCCAAACATTGTTTACGAGTCAGCATAGAATTGTAAGTGCCTTTTCACCACGATTAAAGCCTTGCTCAAAAGTCCACGGTATATTTAGTTAATTTTTAAAATATTTATCATTTAGGGGCTTACTACATGATATTAGACATCTATTAATAAACTATGGCCGAAGTCTTTACCCCTTTTTCATAAAAATTAAACTTTGTGATTTGGGCACTCTCTGCCAAGCCAACGCAAAATGCAAGATTGACGTTAAATTTTCCAACAACTTTTGAGAGGCTTCTTTAGAGTTTTGAGCATATACACTTTAATGGGGTAGTTATAAACTAATTTGCTTAATTCCGTGTAAAGAAATAAAATGATGTGTCCTGCCCAGTTTTAAGGGATGTTTGAAAATGTTTGGTTCAATCAGCAGTGCAAACAACTTCATGTTATTCCTAATTACATCCAAATACGTTCGGGCACAAATAGTCGGTCAGCCAATGTTGCTATTTCTAAAGCTCAAAACATTTGGCTTAATGAGGAGTGTCGTCATTGGTTTTCCAATAGAGATAATTTAAGAATCCACCTTAAAGATTGAATAAAACTACTTTTACGGATTTTATCGCGTTTAATTAAGTTATTTTATATTCCCGGCGTTTCGTTATTCTACAAGATGCAGGAGTGTACAAGCTTGATTGTGAGTGTGGTCTCTCATATATAGGGCAAACAAAACGATCAATAAAAACCCGCGTAAAAGAACACATAGCTGACGTGAAGCACCAACGTTCCGGGAAGTCTGCAGTTTGTGATCACATCCTAGACGGCCCCCGCCATTACATTAGATTTGATAAACCACAAGTTCTCGCGAAAGAACATCGATTCCTACCAAGAATGATACGTGAGGGTATTGAAATTAAAAAATAACATCCTAATTTCAATAAAGAGGGAGGCTGTGTACTACCACCTGCTTGGGATCCTGTAATTCATAAAATTAAAACTAAACCCAAGCATACCACTGCAAGACTTCAAGACACAGTTAGTTCATTCTGCGTAGATCGGACCAAAATTAATAATTAAATAGCTGAAGGTACTCCGGGTTAACTTTGACATCGGGACGTCAATCACCTCAGTCCCCCGTGACCACGGTTGCTGGAAAGCAACCGAAACGTCGGGAATATAAAATAACTTAATTAAACGCGATAAAATCCGTAAAAGTAGTTTTATTCAATGTGTAGTGTTCGCGTGAATATAAGAAATCATTATCCACCTTAAAGTATTCTGAACTTTCTTATAAATTACATAATATTGAATTTCATATTTTGGACCGGAAAGCCAGAGACCTAGCTTCAATAGTTCTTTACGAGAAATATCAAATTCAGTCCCGTAAGTTACAACGACTTGTATCCTCTTCATCACGTAAGCGTAATACAACATACATACTGAATATCATCAATTTTATCCCCAAGTTAAAAATCTTTCCGATGTTCAATTTACAACGGACGAGTTGTAATTTTTAGTAAAAAGCCTAAAGTAAAAGTAAGTCTAACACCTTCGATTTCTCAAAAGTCGCTAGAGACTGTGGCCGTGGACGCGGAGATGGCCGTTGTGATCGGGAAGAAAGATAACATCGTTAAAAGTTTGGTAGCGAAAGAAATTCAAGCTGTACCAGCTTCTTACCATTGCAATCCCGAGTTCTCTGTTTTTAAGTCACCAAAGCAGAGAATAAGGGACAATGATCTTATTGTTACTAAAGCCGACAAGGGCAATACTGTTGTTATTATGGATAATAGCGGGTATAGCCAGAAGGTTAACGATGTTATCCAAGGTGATGAATTTGAGCTTTTGGAGTCTGACCACACCAAAAAGTTCACTTCGGATATTAAAGTATGTATACAACAGTCATCATAAGTTTTTCCCGACCACAACGTGTCTCGCAGCAGTCTTGTTCCAATGAATCCTCAAGCACCCATTTTATATGGGTTACCTATAATACATAAAGAACAGGTTCCTTATTCGCCCAGTTGTATCATATATAGGTGCACCAGTTTATTTCCTTGCTAAAAAGTTAAACTTCCTTCTGCGGGAGAAATCTGGATTCAAACCAACTTACAGCCTTAAAAATAGCTTAGATCTCATTTCCAAGATTAAAGATATTCGCATTCCATCTAAATCCATGTTGTTATCTTTAGACGTTGATAGTCTTTTCACAAATGTCCCATTCCCAGACTGTTTGCGTATACTCACAGATCTCTTTAATAAACGTCGTCTACATCCTGGCGAAACAAATGATCTTCTAAACTTAACCTCTCTCTGTATGAAACAAAACTATTTCCGGTTTAATAACCACTTCTACCTACAAAAAGAAGGGCTAGCCATGGGATCCCCTCGAAGTCCTCTTATGGCGGACATTTTTATGGATAATTTTGAAAAACAACACATAGTTGTCAATAAAAATATCTTATACTATTATCGATATGGAGACGACATAATTATTTGCTGGACTGGCACAAAGAGGCAACTGGATGTTTTCCTTAATAAAATCCACCACAAAATTAAATTTAAGCTTGAATTGGAACAAGATTATGTCCTTAATTTCCTCGACTTAACAATAACAAGAAAAGAGTCGTTACATGAATTTCAAATTTATCGAAAGCCAACTCATACCGACACGGTCATTCCTGCGTCATCATGTCATCCGTGGCAACATAAATTAGCCGCTTTTTATTGTTACATTAATCGTTTGTTTACTGTGCCATTAATGAGTACCGGGACAAACTTGTGTCTGAAGTCGAGTCTTTGCTTAACAAAGTCTCGGATTGGGGCCGACTAAATCTAGTCCAGTTCAATCCCCAGAAGACACAAGTTAGCACGTTTACCGCTAAAAAGAACCCCTTTGTCGTATCTCCTCAGTTTCAAGGCACTCCCCTTGCTGCCTCACCTAGTATCGGAATCCTTGGCGTCGACATATCGAATAGTGTGCAGTTTCGTGGTCACTTGGAAGGGAAGGCCAAATTGGCCTCTAAAAAGCTTGGCGTGCTCAGCAGAGCGAGACAGTATTTCATGCCGGCACATCGCTTGCAAATTTACAAAGCGCAAGTTCGGCCCCACATGGAATACTGTTCTCATCTCTGGGCCGGGGCACCCCAGTGCCAGCTCCTTCCATTTGACCGCATCCAGCGCAGAGCGGTTCAAATCGTCGACAACCGAGTTCTTTCTGATCGGCTCGATACACTGGCACTGCGTAGAGATGTTGCATCTCTTTGCGTATTTTATCGCATCTATCACGGGGAGTGCTCTGAGGAATTGTTCGGACTCATTCCAGCCGCTCAATTTCACCATCACACATCGCGACAATACTTACGTTACCATCCATACCATCTGGATGATTGGCGGTCCACCACTGTGCGATTTAGAAGAAGTTTTCTCCCTCGCACAACTTCCTTGTGGAATCAATTACCACCAGCGAATTTTCCGGACCGATATGACTTAGGAACCTTCAAGAAAAGAGCTTACACCTTTCTAAAAGTCCGGCAACGCATCTGCAATTCCCCTGGTGTTGCGGTTGTTTATGGGCGGCGGTAGTCACTTACCATCAGATGAGCCGCATGCTCGTTTGCCCCCTCTTCTATATAAAAAAAAGTAAAGAAAATTATTTAAAAGAGCTTAATGTGATTTATCAAATTGCGGTCTCTAACGGTTATTCAAAGAATATCATTGACAATGTAATCAAAAAGAAACAAAAACTTGTCGTACGCGATTCTCTGTACGCGGTCAAACCTCAAAGTGATCGTAGATATGTTGGCAGTTTGACCTACTTAGGTTCCCTACCACGTACAAAACACGTACTGGTTGTAGGGTAGGCGGACGTTTCGCAGTAGTTTGTTGTTAATTTCACAGCAAATATCGGCGTACGTCAGGCGGTGAACGATCTCATGACGTAATCGCTTGCTACGTAATTAGAGCGCGGTTGCGTCAGCAAGTAGTATAAATAGCAGTAGTTTCGGCTCGCCGCTCACTTAGCGGCCAGCCTCCGTAGAGTCTACTTCACCTGAAGATGCCTCGTGTAGAGGCGAAACACATGTCGTATTTTCGAGAGTGGTGTGTCGTGCCTAGTGTGGTGGTGCTGGGGGTGGTAGTGCTGGGATTCCCGGCGACGAGTATAGTGCGCGCGATTGAGGGAGGGTAGGAGGTCCCCTTAAAACTGGGCAGGACACATCATTTTCTTTTTTTACGCGGAATTAAGCAAATTAGTTTATAACAACCCCATTATAATGGATTTCCGCAAAGTAACGCCTGATTCTATTAATTATCATATACACTTTGTCATTGTGCTTGTTGTAGTCAAGTCTCCTCAAGTGTATTTTTTTTCATCAGAGGAAGAGCTGTTATCTGTGTCATTTACTAGCGTATCGTGATTACAAGCATTTTGATCAATCTATTAATTTAACCTGAACTGACATTGGGAATGTCCTGAGTATTGACGAAAAGCACCTAGCTTTATGTCTTGATAAATAATTTGCGACATTGTCCTATAGGTAATGTTCATCGATCGCCCCCGTTCTTTTATGGTCTCCGACAGAGAATTTATTGGTGTACCTTTTAAAGTGCTCGACTCCACATCCTTTATATGCAAAACGATGTCTGCAAATTCTGTTGTTTGTAACACCCCACTAAATGTTGTAATTTACGAATCACGAAGAAAAATAAACATGTGAAATAACGAATTCCAAACTAGAATTCTGAAAAAAGAAAAACTATAGTTAGTAGTAAAAGGTTATATTTATGTAAAACCATCGGTGTCAGGTGCAACGCATTATAATAATTCAGCTCGATTGAAATAGTCAAGTGTGAATTCATCAGTTCAAAGAGTAGTAGCAATATATATTTATGTATGTAGTATATATTCCCAAGTTTCAAGTTGAAGTTGTTCATAACTTATTTTCAGAACTGGACCATGTTCCATGCGATGGAGCTGTAACTGGGCCATATAGCAGTGTGGCCGGCACAAGTCTGCCGATAGTACTGCTCACGACCCTGGCGACAACGGCGGCTCTGTAAATTAATCATTGAAAAGTCAAGTGCCGCACTTTTAATTTGATTCGCAATTATCATTAAGTATTTACTATTAACTTTAGTTTATAAAGTAAATAAAAAATTAGTAGTCCACCGTAACAGTTTATATTGAATTATAATATGAGACAAACTAATAATTTGTTTGTAACGGGTTTGCGAAAGTTTCGACAAGTAAATTAAAAATGGACTTATCAGATGTGAAAATGTTGCGGAATTTTGTTATGTGACTTTATAAAGTGACGTTTTATAACGGAACCAAGAAGTTTGTTGATTATTATGTCGTTATCGATATTTAGAGATGGACATTGGAGGAGGCAGAAGAAGAATGTGAATTTGGTGAAAAAAAATAATTTAAATAATAAAATTATATGATCAATATAATATGGTAACATAAGGAAGAAACGATAAATAATTATGTTAATTAAATTATCAATTATCACACGTAATGGTGACATATTTTATAAAGTAAAAACATGATACTTATTTTTAAGGCGGGATATGTCATACATTAGTTTAACGATGTTCCTGTTGTAGTTCATTCTTATAGTTCAATTCTCATATTTTTTATATGTAGTGGTATTTCCGCGGGTATGATTACCAGATTTTTCTTCTTTTTTTAATCATCTATTTATAAGTAATTTTCGAAATTGAACATAAAAATAAGATGTGCCTGTCGGTGTGTGTGTGTGGGGGGGGGTCTGTGTGTGTGTGTGTGTGTGTGTGTGTGTGTGTGTGTGTGTGTGTGTGTGTGTGAGAGAGAGAGAGAGAGAAAGAGAGTGTGCATGCGTGCGTTGATGCGTTCGCATGTGGTATACGTGTGCATGCACGTTCGAGTGTGTGCGGGGTTATGTTTTTGCGAGTGAATTTCGTGTATCTGTGTGAGTATTGTAAATTAGACATGCATTTGTAAGTCAGCTTTGATTGTTAAAGCGATGCTTACACTCAATAGATTATTTAATCACAATACATATCAATGTGTGCCTCTGCTTATATAGCAAATGATACATATCTTAAATGTAGTGAAATTTTAGAAATATACACGTAATGGAAATATTTTATAGTCAATCGTTTGTGAGACGAATTTTACCAGTATATTTTTAACTGTTTATCATTAGAACGCTATACATTCGTACCACTTGAAGATCTTATGAACTCTAAATTCTTATGACTTTGATCATATTATAGTATTATATTATGTAAAACTCCCTTCTTATGAATAGTTCACTATATTTTGAACACGAATATGTACGTATGAAAATGCTATAAGTAATAAGATTGAGGATTAGTGAAGTAAGCGATTTATATAGAATTTTCAAATATTCAGTATAAAAATTAACACGCAAACGCACTAGAAGACTTATTTAAAATCTATCTAAAATCTATCTATATGTTATCCTAGGTCCCAGTTATTGTAAAATTCCGAACAGGTATATTGTAGCTTTACTATTCATATTTTTAGCAATAATTATCTCGGTGACAGTTTTATCAAATCCAATGATTATATATTTATTATTCTATACATATATATATATATATATATATATATATATATATATATATATATATATATATATATATATGTAAAGAAAATGTATTTCTTTAATATTTTGTCTGTGTGTTTTATCTGTGGTTTTATCTATATTTGTGTAGTGTAGATAGAATCTGTGAAATAACATATTGACTGTATTGACTGTTGACAATGATAAGCTGCCTGTAGAAAATTATAATTTAAGTTTATTAATAACAGAATTGTTACAAAGGGAATTGACATATTAAGGAATAAACTTTAAATGTCGTTTCTTTGTTTACAGGTTTGTTTCTAGTTATTATTGTAATAGTGTAGTTTCGTAATGGAACTTAAAATTAATGAAATATAAAACTTTGTTTACAGAGCAACACAATATAGTTTATTTTAGTCAACCCTAAAAACAATATACCTTACGTCTTATAAAACGACATTTTTAGTTATAAAATCCAAACAAAAAAAATGGAGAAACTTTGTTTTGAATTTACGCTATTACCTGGAAGCGATGGAAAGTCAAACATTTTTTCTATTACCTCAATAACCACGAGTGAAAATAAAATGTATGCAATACCAAAAGAGTTCCAATCAGCTAGTCATCATAGAGAAATAATGAAAACAGCTGCTTATAATAAAGTTAAAAATAGTTTACAAAAAAGATACCAGATTAGAAGAGTCTGGATAACTGTGACAGAAGATCTTAAAAGAACGTACATAGATGAGGATGGTAATTTACAATTTGGGGATCAATTTCTAGAAGAATTAAACCAAGAAAAACTTGTTGACAAAATATGTCAAAAAGAAACAAGTACATTGGAAAGATTATTTGAGAAATTAGTAGAAACCACAAAGGAAAATAGACAGCAGAGCTTAAAACATATTGCAGAAAAATTTGTGATTGAAAAATTTACAAGCAAGAATTCTAATGCAAACCAGTGGATTGATATCTTTGAAAAAGAATGCATACGCTTTGATGTGACTACAGATGAAAAGAAAATTGAAATGCTTAGATTGTTTATGGATGGTTCTTGCGTAGATTGGTACAGCTCAATGATTATAAAATTAACAATGAACTCCGAATGGCTGACATGGAAAAACAAATTTTGTGAAACATTTGCAAACAAAGGATGGAACCCAGTTACTTACGCATTATTATTTAAATATAAAGATGGTTCATTGTTGGATTATGCTATGAGAAAAGAAAAACTTTTATTGGGTATGAGGAGATCAATTGACACAGGTACCTTGGTGGATCTTATTGCAGCTGGCTTACCAGAATTCATACTTAATAAAATTGATAGGGAAACATTAAAAGATACAGTAGATTTGTTTAATGAAGTAAGCAGATATGAACACATGGTAAATAAAAAAAGTTTTCAAGGTAAGAATAAATATGCAAATGTAAGGACTTATGATAAAAATGAAGATCACAATCCGTGTAAGATTTGTGAAAAATTAAATAAAGGTACCCGTTATCACTCTGAAGCTACATGTTGGTTTAAATCAAAACAAGATGATAAGGTAAAGAAAAATATAATTAAACACGTAAACAATTCGGTAATAGAAGCAGAATTAAATGAAACTTATCCAAAAAACGAATAGAAACACCATTAATAAATGTCAAACTACAATTGAATGATAAATTAAAAATATATGGAGTTTACGATTCAGGTTCGAATGTTTCTCTGATAAATGCTAAGTTACTAAAACTAAAAGGAAAGAGAAACAGTTTGAATGAAGCAGATTTAGTAACTATTAATGGTGTTAAAAAAACAAGTGGTTTGACAACCTTGAAAATAAAAATATTTGATTTAGAATATAGTGTTGATGTATACATTATTGATGATGAAAATTTCAAATATGATTTTTTAATTGGATTAGACTTGATAAAAAAGTTCAAATTAATCCAAAATGAAGATTTAAAAATAACTCAGAAACAGAGTCTGAATAATGAAAATGAAAATATAGTAGAAGAAATTTCTACAAATGAACAAACAAATACTGAATTAAAAAGTAAAAAAAATAACACAACGAAAGAATACAAAATAAATTTTAATGAACATGTAAGAGAAGAAGACTTTGAAATAAAAATAAATCATTTAAATCACTATCAAAAATTAGAAATAAATAAACTGATTTGCCAATATAAATCAGTATTTGCAAAAAACAAATACGATGTGGGTACTGTTAAAGGATATGAAGCGAGGATAGACTTATTAGTAGATAAATATTGTAGTAAGAGACCTTACAGATGCACTTTTGAAGATAAAAAAGAAATCGAAGAACAAATAGCAAAATTACTAGATAAGAATCTGATAGAGGAATCATGCAGTCCATTCGCTGCACCTGTTACTTTAGCATTTAAAAAAGAAGAAAACAAAAAATCCCGACTGTGTATAGACTTCAGAGATTTAAATAAAATAGTGGTACCTCAAGCTCAACCATTTCCATTAATTGAAGATCTAATGATAAAGACTAGGAACTGCAAATTTTTTTCAACTCTAGATATTAACTCTGCATTTTGGTCTATTCCTCTTCGAATCGAAGATAGAAAAAAGACAGGATTCGTAACACAGGAAGGACATTTCCAATGGACATGCCTACCTTTTGGACTAAAGACCTCGCCGGCAATTTTTCAGAGGATATTAAGTAATATTTTGAGGAAGTATAAACTTACTGATTTTACGGTTAATTACATAGATGATATCCTTATATTTTCGAAATCTTTTACTGAACACATTAACCATCTTTCACGGTTGCTGGAAGCAATAAAAATAGAAGGTTTCAGGTTAAAATTTCAAAAATGCACATTTGCATCAGACTCAGTAAAATACTTGGGTCATGTAATACAAAATAATTCTATCAGACCAGTAAAGGACAATTTAATTTCAATAAAAAATTTTCCTGTTCCAAAAACGCAGAAAAATATAAGACAATTTCTAGGAAAAATTAATTTTTACCATGAGTATATACCGAGAAGTTCAATAATACTAGACCCATTGCATAATTTACTCAGAAAAAATCAAAAGTTCATTTGGTCTAATGATTGTCAAAAAGCATTTGAAATGATAAAAAGCCTGCTATGCTCCCAACCAGTTCTTGAAATTTTTGATCAAGATTTACCAATCAACATTTATACAGATGCTTCTTTGGAAGGTATAGGAGCCATTTTAAAACAGACACAACCTAATGGAAAAGAAAAACCAGTGGCTTACTTTTCAAAAAAGTTAAATGAAGCACAAAAGAAGAAAAAAGCTATATACTTAGAATGTTTAGCTATCAAAGAAGCAGTGAGATACTGGCAATACTGGTTGATAGGTAAATCATTTACAGTTTATTCAGACCACAAACCATTGGAAAACATGAATCTGAAATCTAGAACCGATGAAGAGCTGGGTGATTTAATATATTATCTCTCACAGTATGAATTCAAAATAAAATATAATCCAGGAAAAGAAAATTT